ACGATTTAAGATATAATATTAAAATTTAAATGTGACGAGAGAAGATTTCTGATTATTTCGATTATATAATTGTTTTAAATTGTTAAGAACCGAATTGTGAGAAACAATAAAAACCGCGCTTGTAAATGGTTAATAAAATTGTTAAATTAAAGTACGCATGACATAATACGCGGGATATGTAATAATACAGTGAGCTGCTTTGTGAAGGGTAGTGTTAAGCGAACACCTTTGTTCCATTAAAGTAGCATCGTGTTTACATGGTTTTGACGCGAAAATGCTCGGCGCCGGGATTGCGGTTTTGCGTCGTTGATTACGGGGCGCATTATGCACACGCGAGCATGATCATGATCCTCCCGCGAGTGTTGCAAGATGCGTATGCCACAGTAATGACGCGTATTGTTAGATCGTATCGGTCTACAGTGCAAGAGGCCGGATGGCTTTTGACGGCGCCTTCACTTTAACGGTGAATTGTGGCTTGCACCTATTCGAAAGTTAAGTTAAATAATTTTTATCTTTATTCATATATACGTACACGCATTCACACACATACACACACGACACGCACGTACACATATATATACACGCGCGAAAAATTTTTGTATATTGTTTGAGAATTCAAGTAAGCTCAGTTAAGTATCATATCACTGATCGCTTCTCGATCAGATCCAGCCTTCCGAGCTGCAATCTTTAGGCGAACGTTATCTGGGTTAATGAGAGAGCAATCTCTTTATTCGATTCCGCAATTCCGCCAACCGCCAATCCGGTATTTGTCTCTCGACGTTATTACGATGCATCGTGTCATTCCAGCAACTTTGTTCAACCGAGGTAAATATCTCAATAATGAAAATAATAATTGTTGATAGCCGCCTACGAAGAGCAAGGCGCGATTAGCTTGCGGAACGGCGAACACATGTAATCAAGCTGATGCAAAACGCTGGGAAAAACCATAAAAATATGAAATAGACATATAATATTGATATTACACATACATTGGCATTTGTATAATCTCTATCGATTACATGCAGTAAAACTTTGTATAGTATATGATATGAAATATGTGCTGTAATATAATTTAAATATCTATTAAATGAAATGTATATTGATGTAGTATCGATCGGTGTACGATTAAATATTATAAGAAGATTTTCAAAATCTGATCGACCTTCACATATGACTCGCGAAATATGTTGATTAATTAAATTCAAGCTTCAACGTTCATTGGGCTAATATAAGATGATACAATAAAACTGATGTTCGCCATAAAATGTCGCAAGTTACGCGAGGAAAGATAATCTGTTGCATGTATTTATTACTATAAAAGGAGAACAAAATAAAATACACAGGCTTAGTTGAAACGCCTGTGTTTTCTTCGCAATTACAAAACTGTATTCGCAGAGAAATTGCATAAAATTACAAAAAGCATTAGACGGTAAACAATATTATTCAAACGTGATAAATAATTTATGGCAGAAACGTTTCCGTTTCCTCGAGAGAGCCTGTTACGCGTTACACTTCCGTTTTCGCTACGCAAGATTCGAGGGCGTCGCACGCGCGGCTAGTGAAGTGCTCTATTACTCACAAGTCACTGTTGATAGCCGCGTAATATAGACATGCATTTCCGCAAGCATAAGCCGATTAAAGCGCACGATACAATTGAACATTTGAAATCAGCAAGGAGAGTTTTGCAAATACCATTTGGAGTAGAGCATGGAAAGCTTAGCGATTCTGTTGTCTACTAATATTTTTTTTTTTTCTTGTGCCAATTTTCTACGCAAACGACAAGTGCAATTATTTTTTACACGTTCAAGGATATTACAGAAATCGTACTATTCATCAATTTAATCTTTGCATAGATTTAAAATCTCAAATTTTTGATTATCAATCTTAAATTATGGCATACATTTTGTGATCAAAGTTTAAGTTAAAATTCCACGTGGAATTAATGAAACTATTTTATTGATTTATGTTATATACAGTCACATTTATATTTATTTTTATTACTATATTTATCATATTTACATTTATTGATGTTATTTGATCACGTATTGATTCTCTGAATTGCGAAAGAGATACACAATAACATCATGGTTGATTTATTTCATTCGCTAGCTATCGATACTGTGATTTAAATGCAAATGCAAATGCAAATTGATATTCCGTCCTTGATTGTCACGGACGATCACGCGGAGGATCGAAAAGGAATCACTTGAAAGTTTTGATTTTTTGCGATATACTGTACAACATTTATATCTTAAATACAATTAAATATTCTCTTAGAATATTCTAAGGCATTTTATATATAAATTTTTCTTACAATAATAAATTAAAAATAATTATATTACAGAGAATATAATAATAATGTGATAAACTATTTTACGGTATTTATGTATTATATCCCTAAATTCAATAATTTTGTGACTTTACTCCTTTTTTTATTACACGCTTGTGATAAATATGTGATATCTGCCTGTTGATATCTAATCAGAAACATTCGCACGCCTACAGTATCTCTCGTTGTGAAATGCATCACTGCATCGTCGGCAGAAAAGTACCAATTTCGCCTACGTGCCAAACACGGATATTACGTAATCGATATAAATTAAGGCCAAATATATGTATGTATATATGTATGTATATAGAGACAGAGAGAAAAAGAAAAAGAACAAGATAAAGAGAAAGAGGGAGAGATCGAGTCCCCCATTGGACACACCAAAATATTTTTATTAATCGAATCGTTTCCCACGAAAGGCACGGCGGATGCATGAAGGTTTCTTATTTCCGAGAGAGCGAGTTCTCTCGAAGGAACCGGAAGTGACAGGATTGATTTCTGCAAAATCTCGCACAGCGAAAAGGCTCGTATCTCGTAACACCGGCGCCGTGATTGCGGCTATCCGTCGGTCACACAATCTGTGATAACATGAAATTACTGCAGTTAGATAGCCACTATGACGTAACGGTAACCGATGCACGGCCCTGAAATAATATTGTAAGTGATACATGAATAATAATATTGCTCTGATTGAACGTTCTTGCTCGGCCTAGTTTCATGAATCGTATTGAATGTATAAATAAAGACTTTATTGTGAAAGATTTGAGTATAATCGATAAAATAATCAGATAAAAAAATCTCAAGTAAAGCTCTAAATGTCTAAATAATTTCTCTAAATTATCTCATATACATATATATATTTTTTTTTTCTATATCAGTTGTTTCTTATATTACAAAATATATATACAGAAAGATATGCAAAAATTGAACAATTGCTATAAATATGTAACCATACAAGTATAAAAAATTTTCTAAAAATTTTCTAAAAATGCAAGTCGAGCATTAAATCGCAATCAACAGTTAAACAGAAAAAAAATCGCGCAGCGTAGCATTTTATATGTTCGCGAAATGTTTTAAACGAGCATCAAAGTTAAGAATACGCTAAATCCACTGTTACTAAGCATTGCGGTATAATATCGTAGCGAACCCGTGATTATGCACAGAGGAAAAGTTGCGAGAGTTCGCCGTTGATCCAGCAATCAATTTGAGAGGCGCGGGATACTGCCACTGTTGCATAATCGCGTATCTAAACAGTCACCTCGTCGGCACGATGCACCAGTTCTCAGACCGTAGCATCGCCTTTAAAGCGTCGTTTAATCTTAGATCGCATGACGTTACAGACGCAGATGATGATTGTCGACAAAGTTGATGACTTGATCGAAATTCATTTGCATTTCATCGTTCATCTTCTTTTGAGATTAATTTATTATTGTCTCGCTCCCCTTTGATTAAATTTGCATTTTATGATTACTTTTGAAAATGTAACGAAACAGAAAGCAGGA